GCTACTTTGTCTTCTTCGTCTTTAGATTGTAATCTGAGGCGGAGATCTTGTGGTTTGGCGCCGTCGTATGTTGCTGTCACGTCCTGCGCAACTATGCGCTCTGCACGGCCGTCCTCCTTGCGAGCTTCGTTTACAACGATTTCCGTGGCAACCTCGCTCTCTGTGATACGATCATCGCGTTTGCCAACGTTGTCTATGGTGAGAAGGAGAACGCTGGTCATATCAGCATCCTCCCGGGAGGTGCCGTCGAGGTCCTCAGCATGTACGTGCAGACCCTTTACAAGTACATCTTTCACGGCATCATCACTCACCACTGAAACATCGGCTACCACATTTTCTACATCAATATGGTCGGCTACTACATGCTCTACATCAACATCGTCGCCTACCGGATGCTCTACATCAACATCGTCGACTACCGCATGCTCTACTCCCACATCACCGACTACAACATCCTCTACATCAACATGGACGACACCTTCTACGTCAACATCGTCGACGCTGGCGGCCACACTTTCTACACCCACATCGCCGACTACCACAGCCTCTACAGATGAACCGCCGGCTACCACATCTTCTGCATCAACATCGTCGCCTACCGCATGCTCTACGTCATCATCGCCGACTACCTCGTCTTCTACATCAAGGACTACAACCTCTACGACATCAACATTGCTAACGGCCACTGCTTCTACACCCACATCATTGACTACCGCATCCTCTACATCAACCTATTCGCGGACGCCATCCTCCAAGCCAACATCGTCCACTACCACATCTTCTACATCAACAATGCTGGCGACCACACCTTCTACACCCACATCAGCGACTACCACATCCTCTACACCAACATGGACGACACCTTCCACGTCAACATCGTCGACGACCACATCTTCTACAACAACAATGCCGGCGACCACACCTTCTACATTTACATCGGATGCTTCGCATCTGAAGCTGGTATCCCTTCGTACATTTACATCATCGACTACCACACCCTCTGCATCAACCCGTTCGCCGACGACATCTTCTACATCAACATCGTCGTCTACTACATCCCCTATGTCAACAATGCCGGCGACCACACCTTCTACATTTACATCATTGAGTACCACACCCTCTGCGTCAACCTGTTCGCCGATGACATCTTCTACATCAACATCGTCGTCTACTACATCCTCTACGTCAACAATGCTGGCGACCACACCTTCTATGGCCACACCATTGACTACCACATGCTTTACATCATCATGCTCGCCGACGACATCGCTGCACATCAACATCTTTACTACCGAATCCTGTGCATCATTGCTTTTGATAGCCACATCTTCTACATCAGTGCCGGTCATATCTTGTACATCGACAGGCTCGTCGACCGAATCTTCACCATCAACATTACCAATGACCACACCCTCTACATCAGCATCTTCAATGAAGACATCTTCTACGTCAACATCATCGACTACTACAGGATCAACGCCGGCCTCACCCACCAATACTTTCTACGACGAGACCCTTTTCGGCCACATGGTGTATGAAAGCTTCCCTTATGACCACAGCCACTACGCCAGCAGCCACATTTGCTACAATCGCATGCTTTACACGACAATGGCCATCACGAGAACACCATCTACGACTACAGCTTCTACAGCTTCATCCTTCACGACTGCTCCTTGCACAACACCACGTAACGCAACCACATCGTCAGCATCCAACTACATTGCGCCGACGTCCTCCGTGGCCTCCTTCACAACTGCATCCGTGACAACGACATCATCAATATCCACGCGCCGCACAGTCTCATCCATCACGGCTGAGATCGCTACGAGAGTATTCGCGACATCCACATCCTTTACGACCACATTGTTTACAGCGATGGCCTCTACAACAACGTCCTGCGCAACGACGTCATCTACAAGCACGTGCTTTACGACAAAGTCCACTACGGCCAGGTTCGCTACAGGTGCACGCTGCACTGCAACATCTTTTACGACAGCGTCATGTACCACAACACCTTCTACGACCACATCCCGTGCAACCACGTTGTTTGCAGCGGCAGTCCCTGGGACGCTCCTCGCGCTCTCATTTCTTGTGATTACGACGTCTATAGCAGCGCTCTTTCCGGGCGCGTCTTCTGCAACCACACCATTGTTCCGGACGACAGTGACCTCGTCTACGGCCACACAGTCCTCGACGAAGAGCCCAACAACCACGTCTGTGATCACAGCTTTCGCGGCAGCAGTGTCTCTAATCACATCGTTTACAAGCATGTCGCCATCTACTATTGAAGGAGTGCTGCGGGACATCATTTGTTACAACTGCGTGTTCTACGACCACACAGTTTATGCCAACATTGTCTGCAATGACGATATCAACAAGAGCATCGTTGACGATTCCGTCCTCTACGACTTCGCCTTCTGTGGCACCATGGTCTGCAGCAGCGTGCTCTACAATTTGCATGCCTTACCAGCACTTGCTCAGCTACTGCATCTGCTGCGGCTGCGCCTTTGGGGCAAACCTCCGTGCGAGATATACCACAGCTTCCACAACATCCGGATCGCCTACAACCTTTGGAAGGAACACTGTCGGAAGCGATATCATCCTCAACGACAAGTACCAGCACCTTTCAAGGCTTGCACCACTGGCATCGCTACCAAAAGACCATCCAGCTCGAAGCCCCGGCTTGGCCTGCAGAAAATCGGGATTGTTTTTGAACCAGTGTGAAACCAGAAGGTAAATGCTGGACGTCAGCAGCTCGATCACGC